TTGGTTCCAAATCATATAATGCTTATTTTAGGGTCTCAATCCAAAAATTCCATAGATATATCAAACCTAATAAAAAATTACTTGACTGGGGTGATATAAAGTCATCAATATTTTTATGAGCATACTCGTAAATTTCATTTGGTTGTAAAATTATTCGTTTGTTTTCTTCTGGTTCGTTCTCATGAAATTTAATTGCTTTTACCATTTTAATTTTTGTTTGAAATGATACATTGTCATCAAAAAATGCTAATGAAGCCGCTTTTGGTGTTAAGTACCATAGATGGCCACACATTTTCTTTAATGCCGACTTAGAAATATTACTATCGATAGTCGCATACAATATTATATTTTTTATAAAATCTAAGTCCAGGTTTGGTGCTCGTGAAGCAACGGGAGCACGAAACCACTGTTGTATGTACAACCGAACTATAAAAATACACAAGTCCCGAAAAGCATTATTTTCTTTTAAAGTTAATTTAAATTTAATTAATTAATTTAAATAAAAATATTTTTAAAGAATAAATAGCTTTTGCCATCCATCTAGCATGGTTTATGGGTCCAGGAACTTTGAAAAATATGCCATTAGGTGGTGTTTGACCGAGAAATATAATAGTTAGTTCTAGTAGTTCTTTATAATCATCTCGAGGTTGGTGTTGTTGTAATTGATTTATACAGAATATTGCTACTAATAATAATATACTTCATTTCGGTCTTCCATTGATTGAAAAATATAAATATCTTCTAATCCAATATGAAAGTTTTTAACGTCAATATTTGGCCAAGATTTTTGGAAACGTTTAAAAATTGGTACATCTGGGGCAGATGCAATATCAATCTTTATTTCAAAAGCACATCTCAGTACAACTTCAAAGATATGGTGTCTGCATGGTAAATATAGAATATCGCGTTCCAACTTTTGCTCCAGTAATATACAAGCACCTTTTAATCGACCAGTATTTGATGCAGTAGTATCACAGCATAAAGCTTGCACGTTTTCAATAAGACCCCAATTTTCAAGTTCCTGATATACAGCTGTCGCTTGATTTTCTCCTGTACCAGAGCTAAGTTCGGGTACTCCAAGAAGTTGGTCTGTGCCATTATGTGATATAATTACCTTTAGGTGGTCAACCAATTGCTTTCCGGATAATGAGGGAACAAGTTTACCATCCCAATGAACTACACAAGGACCTACTACAGATGTATTGAAATCATTTCGAATTTTCTCCATTCTTTCTTTCCGAGTACATTTAATTGATGTACGATTAATTATTAATGCATCCGTATTAACGCCTAACGACTGAGCAGTTGCAAGTAAAATATGAACCGCGTCTCGATCACTAATCTTACACCTATCAAGTGCCGCGGACAGTTTATCAGTAATAAAATTATTTTTACCTCTTATTTGAACTAATTTTGGGTTTTCTATAACTTCTTCAATTGATATTTTGTCAATTTCCTCTGATTCACTACTTGAGGATGGAAAAAGAGACACACTATCAACCACTCGTCCTAAAATAAAAACAAAAATAATTTAATTAAAATGCATAAGTTTAATTTATTAACAATAAACATAAATCGTCAATAAAAAATAAGTTACCTAAGGTTTCCATTTCTTCATAAGCTCTTTTTTTCTTTTTATTGCATCCGTTGATTTTTTTCAAATACGTTCTTCTAGTTTTTGGTTTTTTTTTATCTATTCCTAGCATACAGCCCGGTCTTCCTTTGGTCCTCTGAGCAATTAAAAATTGTTTATCGCTCTCTATTTTTATTGTACTTAACGCGTCAGCATGAGCGATGTCAAAAATATCATCAAACTTATTTACGAATAAGTCTTCTTTCTTTCGATTATTGTCTAATTTTATAGTTTCGTGTTTTTGTAGATTTCTCCACTCATTATATAATGACTCCAATTTTTTAATTAAATGATATTCTTCTCTTACAGGAATACATGCTTTTTCCCAAAATATTACGATCTCTCTGATTACTAATTTGCTGCTCTCATGTAAATTTAATTTAACAACACGCATATTATAAAACAGTACACTTAAAGCTTGTTTTATTGAAGGTAATTTACTAGGTACCAACAATTTGATTCGAAACACTTCCAACTAAAAATATTTTACTGGAATCGCGAAGGTTAATTTTTGACGTAGACGCCATAATTATAAATTAAAACTTTAAAATAAAATAAACTGTGAGAACAAAATTAATTAATTTCTTTCAGTCGTTAAACAAAACAACACATTTGTCACTAACGTGTATTCCCGTGATTGAATGACTGTCGACTGATATTTTAATGATTAGAAACGGTCCGAACTCCGTATATTGAATTTGATAAAGTTTAATAAATTACGTCGCAAATTATATCGCATTGCCTATCGTTTTATCGTAGCACTTTATAATATTAAGACTACAAAGTATTTATCGATTACAATACTGCTAAATACTGATAATAAAATGCTTGTTTACTTATGAAAATTGCCTTATTTGACCATTTTTCGACCCCCGTGGGGCACGGGAAGGGGGTGAGTATGCATAACCAAATTTTACCCAAATTAATTTTTTATGGTATTAAACAAAATAGGGGGGTGAGACATAAACAATTTGAAAGTTCAAAAATAAGGACCACCCTAAGCTATTTATAGAAAACCTATTTAAAGGAATCAAATTAAATAATACATTTAATCAACTGTTCTCGTGATTTAAATGCGATTAGACATTTCAAATGTCAAAACCATTGAAAACTGACTTGTGGCGAGTTAAAATTAAATATATATACATAATAGATTGGTAAACATAATAATACCCGCATTAGGTACATTATATATATTTTTTTAAATTCACAATAGGTAGGAAGCTCGAAACTGTAACGCGCTATTCTATAGAAATTACTTTTCAAAAGTAATTTCCATTACATTTTCGTTACTTGAAAATAATTCTAATGAAATTACGTAACGCGTTACTTTACTACCTAACCCTGGCCGCGTATTTACAGACCGTAACTGAATTCGGCCAAACGGGTATGCACGTCACCCAATACGCATGCGCGTGCCACAACTGTATCACAACTGTATCACAACTGTACCACAACTGTATCACAAACGAACTAACGTTATCACTTATCATAGTTCTGTTAATCTGTTCTTTCTAGAGGTGGAAAAATAGTTCATTAAAGTGAATAGTTCATTTAGTTCACCTATATACAATATTGATTATTAGTATTATTACATAATAAACTACATTTGAGCGATTTGACTAGAGTAAAGTTGTACATATTCATATGATAAATAATAAATGAGAACAAAATCAGTCATTCTAACAGCAAGTGGCAAGTACTAACATAATTACAAAAAGTATAAACCTTATGAACTGTGAACTATGCGTTTAGCACTAGTTCTTTCTAGTAAGTCAATTACATAGACATATAATAGATATGTAATAATAATATTATATGTCTATGGTCAATAATTATAATAAATAATAATAAAAACATGCTCAATAAAAATCAAAATTACCATGAATAATCATAATAATAATAAAAATGTCAATAAAAAGTAAAATAATATAATAGGTACTAATGCGATTATGCATATTTTGTTACGTTGTTTTTAATATTTAAACCCAAACATCTTTTTTTTTGCCTTCCAGATGTTTCAGTATTAGATGGTCGACCACGATGGATACGTTTAGCTCCAGAAGATATTCCAACTTTCCTTCTTGACCGAAATGTAGGCTGAGTTCCAATTAGTTTTTTATGACTAATGAAATGGTTGGTTACATTAACAAAAGATGTAACAGTTGTGATGCTTTTTAAGTTTTTATTGAATTTTTTTAGATTTTTCAAGAGATATGGATCTTTACTATTTTCATCCACCATTTGTTTAATACGGTCAATTTCACCCTGCAATACAATTAATTCAGATTTCATGTTTTCTGACGTATTAGACTGGTCCTCTAATTCAACTGGATTACTTTTAGCACCGGAAAAAAATTCAGCTGTAGTAGTACTTGTCCCTCTTGAAGTGTAATTTGCTGTATCAAACTCTACGTTGACTACATTGTCAATATTCATACTTTGTAGAAATGAACTATCAAAATCCTTGCCTACAGCTAGTTCTCCAAGTTGAACATGGTCAGTAAAAGATAAATGAGGATTATTTTGAACAACAAATCCATTTAAGTGTACAGCACATATATGTTTGCAGAAAGCACCGCCTTCACCTGCTGGACAATCACAAAACTCATAATTTTCTAAAGAACGAACAGTATAATAGCAATTTTGAGTACTTGATGTTACATTATAAACATCCCCATCAACACTAACTTGAAGGTGTTCTGCTTTTTTAATACATTTTTTATAACACAATTCTAGCTTTGTAACGCGATAAGTTGCATATTTTATTAATCATTTTGTATGATAGTTCTCTAAAACATCATATTATATGAAATCAACGAGGGCAGCTGAATTAAATGCTTTACAGCGATCTAAAACAATATCTTTGAATATTCTTATTGAAGACTCTAAAATATTATTTGTGTTATGACCATGAGTAAATAAATCCTTCCTATGACATATTGCCCATTCTTTAATCCTTTTTTGATATTTTTTCATATGATTTGAAAACTTTTCATTTTCATTGGCACATAAATCATTTAGGTTTTTGTTAGCCTCATCTTCATTAAATTCAAATAGAATATTTCTAAATTTTATCATTAATAATTGTCTTTCATTTTTTGCCACATCATGTTTGGTATCGCAAAGCCATCTCCAAATGGACTGGCAAACATGAAAAGCACAAAACAATAGTGTAGACTCAGGAAAGACTTCTTGTAGTGCTTGACGTTCTGCTGTACTATCGTCTGTCATGAATACTGAAGGTTGAGTTTGACCACAAAAACCATTTTCCCCTAAAGCTTTTTTAAATAATTTAAACGCTTGGATATAATTTTCTTTTGTTGAATATTTATGAATGACAGCCCCTAAAGGAATGCCACCAACCTTAGAAACTACAAAAAAAAAAAAAAGTGATACAAGAACCACTTTGATCACACGAACCTGTAGAGTCAACAAAAACAATGTCTTTCGAAAAAGGCATTTTGTGAGCTCTCATCATAAGTGGAGTAATAATAACTATACATAATGGATTGTTTGAAATTTCCAATATACCACCAGATTTTTCATACAATGGCTTTTTAGTCTCCAATATTTCACAAACACCTTTATCAAATCTGTCTCCATAATTTTCAGATCTAATTCAATAAAGAATAATCAATAATCAATAATCAATAACAATACATTTTTTATAATAAAAATAGTACATATATTTATCTATGTAAAAATATGTTATTATTACACTCTACAGTCTACACCCCACATATTAATGTATTCACAATTTGTTACATATCAAAGTAAACAAAAAATGTACATAAATGTACCAATATATTTCATAAATTCATTATTAACAAAAAAATTATTTTAAATAACTGGAATGTACACAATTCATACACAAAATAAATTATAAGTTTGGAGATCTATACATCAATTGATTGCAAAAATTCTTGATAGAAACCAAAATCAACTAGATTATATTCAAGACTTTTCCTTATAAACAATAATACACATTATAGAACAGTTTAGTCTATAAACATTTGTTAAAACACAAAAGTATTTCAAATGGATATAATCCACACAAAAATAAAACCAGGAATACAAATACAATTTAGCCAATCATCTGTTAATAATAATAGATGTATTTATAAATTTTGATTAACAATGAAACTCCTAATTCAAATAATCACAAGCATTTGCAAAAAAAAAAGTAGAAGTAAAATTCACAATTAACATAAATGGTTGCCATAAATATTAGGTATAGTATGCCATTTAATTATAAATTACCTCCAAGTATCATATAGCCATACTACTTGTCTATCAGTAGGATTTATTTGGGCATCAGCCAAAGTTTTAATCAAATCCATACTACTACCTTGACAATCATCATTTATATTAGCTGTTAGTTTAACTTCATGGTAATTTTTTGCTACTGCTGGTGTCATCCCGTTGGCAAAGTATTCAACAAACTCATTTTTTACTTTTGAACACACTCTAAAGTAGCTATATGCTTCGGTGTTATCAACTTTATGAGTGTGCTCGAATGATATATAAAAATTAAATTACATAATTGCTTACAATATCATAAATAAATAATAACAATGTATTATTCTAAAAAACATTAGCTTAGAAATATAAAATGAACAAACTTTGATAAGCAAAGTTACCTTAATTTCAGTATTAAGTCCTTTTCTTAAGAACTCGTCTTTTCTTAATGTATTAGGAGTTTCATTTTTAATTACAATTTTAATAGAAGCTTGGCAATTTTTATTCCTAATTCTGTTTTTGTCAGTTTGTTCTGTATTTTGATTTTTGTGCTTTGACGCATGTTGACACACATAATCCTTCCGATATGCGTATCGCTGCTTATTGGGATAAGTCTTAAACACAATCCAATTTGTTTTGGTTGCTGTGGAAAAATGTTGTACCCAATTGTTACGGTCTGTAAATACGCCGCCGGGCCGGTTCACGGTCGTTGCTGCGGCAACCGACCCCATCAGCGGTGTTTCCAGCGGGAGCGGGAAACACGGGTAACGGAGCTCGCTCCGACCTACAGCCAAGCGTCTCAGTATCAGTCAGGCTCCTGAAATCGATGCGGGCATAGTGGAGATGGATCGGACTTGCGGCTGACGGCTTGTCTGTAGCGTACCCCCCCTTAATTCGGTAGGTGGAGGCGGCCGCCGAAGTATGTCCAACCGTTGACACGTAGAAACGGTAGCTCGGGGGCCGGGTTAGCCCAGGGGAGCTTTCGAGCCAGGAATGCTTCCCGCCCGGCCAATCGGATTTCCAATCCGTTGGAGTCGGATTCGAGCGGGTTATTGGTTTTCGCTGGTGTAGCCGGCAACACCGTAACCGGCGGGCGTCCGGAGATAGCAGTCATGCTGATCCGGCCGCTTTTACGGTAGGCGGGAAGAGGCCACCGCCGGTGTGCCGTTCCCCTCTGGCGGCCAGTCGCCGGGCGACGGGTAAAACCGGGCTTAGGTCGGCGACTGAGGCCTCCGCATCCCTTGACTAGCGCTCAGCGCTAATAGAAGGTACACGGTTGTAGCCGCAAGGCAATAAAACCCAGGAGTCCTTGCCTTAGATGATCTGCTAGTAAATTTATCAAAATATTATCAATTTAAAAATTTACCGAAAGACTCGAGGACTTTATTAAAAACCCCAACCAAAACGTTAATAAAAAATATCAAGGGTGGTATTTATCACCACTTTGGTATTCAACAAGAAATTGAACACATGATTGAACTTAATTATAATCTCCCTTGTACATTAGAATTGATAGTCGGAATAGATGGCCTACCTATTTCTAAAAATCCACCAAGTCAACTATGGCCAATACTTGGATAATTTTCAAATTTGGAAAACAAATGTAAGGTTTTTATAATTGGCATTTATTATGGTAAACCTAAACCTGAAGATTCCAATGAGTTTTCGCAAGATTTTGTTAATGAGTTGTAAAATCTTATAAATATTGGCGTTGCTTTTAATAATACCTACTTCAAAGTAATGTTAAAGGCTTTGATATGCGATACTCCAGAAAAATCATATATTTTGAGCGTAAAATTACAAACTGGCAAAAAATCTTGTGTAAGATGTACTATTTCAGGTGAATATGAAAAAAATAGAGAATTTTTTCCAAACCTAAATTTGGCTCTAAGAACACATATAATGATTTTATTGCTCACTCTGATGCTGAATTTCATTCTGGTCATACTATATTAGTAAATATACCTAAGTTTGATCTTGTAAATGATATACCGTTTGATTATAGATATGCATTGTGTGTGTATTGGTGTCATGAAAAAATTATTAGTTTTTTGGAATGTTGGAGTTAAACGACACAACTTGGCTCTTCTTCATAATTTGATTTCATCATTGGATAGTAAGTTAAATGATTTAGGTCATTATATACCAGAAGAGTTTCAAAGAGCACCGAATGTCAATAGTCGAAAACATGCTTTTCGAGATGCCAGCCGATGAAAAGCGACAGAATTGCGTCAACTTCTCTTGTAAACTAATATGGTTGTTCTACATGATATTGTTAACAAACAAGTTAATGATCACTTTATGCAGTTGTGCAGGGCCGGATTTAGAGGAGTGGAGGCCTAGGGGCATCAAAGGAGTGGGGGCCCCCTGGCCCCAAATTATTTTACAAATAAAATAAACAATTTTTTTTCAAAGTAGATTATTTTTCTTTTTTTAGTATTTAACAAACATATATACAATATATATAATTATAATCAGAAACAAGAAATTAAATTTAAGTGTTAACAAACGGAACCTTCCGAGCTTTTTCGCGGAAAAATCGTTGATAAGTTCGATGAAATCCAGTTCCCGAAGTAAATCACTTTCAATGCTAAGGAGAGAAAGTTTTGATAGACGGTTTTGTCGCATTGTGGTTCGAAGCCTATTTTTTATAATCTTCATTTTTGAAAATGAGCGTTCTCCAGTGCAATTTGACACCATCAAAACCAAATACATTCTCAATGCAATTTCAAGATTAGGGAATGTAGCTCTGAAATTTTGATCTTCGAGAATTTGGTAGTAAAATATTTCCGGAGATCGGTCTTTTCCATAATCCTTTTTGTATGCGTCGATCAAAGACACAAATTGAACCAACTCATTACCAAGACTAGGTTCTAAATCATCCTCATAAACTTTCACCTATGCCTCTGCTTCAGCGTATAAATTTTCAACATCCATCTTCTCAATGTGATTAAGAAATCCAAATCTCGAACGTACAGCTTCATAGGCATACAATCTTTCAGTAAGAGAAACACATAGCTGGTCAATTACTGGTATGAAGGCAGATACTTTGTATTTCTCCTTGGGTGACAGGTTTGCGTCTTGTGCTTTCCCGTAATCGAGCGGATTCAACCTCACATTTCTCGTTCTGGTGCGTGATTGTATGTATTGATCGGTATGAGATATTTTTTTGGCTGCTTCTTCATATTTATCAAAATCGTTTCTTTTGGATTCCACGTATAATTTCAGTGATTCTAGTGTACGCGTTGCCGATTCAAGAATCATTTTCGGGTCTTGCAACATCTTGTTTGTAGCGTTGAATCGCTCCAAGATGTCGTTCCAAAAGGTTGCAAACAAAGCGGTTTCGAGACTACTCATCTTCTGTAGAAGGTGCGTTGCTTAATTCCTCACAATGTCTTTTTGCTCTTTATCGGAAGATATACTGGTTAGAGCTTCTTAGATTTCCGAATAGCCCTCGACTATGGCTTCCGTAGCTTCAGCTCGACAAGACCAACGAGTGTCGCTAAGCTTTTTCAACACGTAAAACTGCCCGCTTTTTCTCTTCGATAATTTTTCGATCAAAATTCGGTATCGCTCTGTACTTGCTGTGAAAAACGCGTATAAATCCTGCATGAAATCAAAGAATTGAACAGCCGAGGGACAAGAATTAGCCGCTGCTTTTCCTACTAAATTGAGAGAATGACCACAACATGGTACAAATGCCGATAAATGATTTTTCTCCAGAATAAGAGCCTGCATATTTGCCACTCATGTTTGCAGCATTGTAGTATGATTGGCCGCGGCAATCCATGATGTCTATTTGATGGTCACCTAAAAATTTGAGTAGAGCGTTTGCTGTGGCTTCGCCAGTATGACCGCAGTTTGGTAAAAAGGTGAGGAATCTTTCTTTTGGCGTCGATCCTTCCATGTATCGAACAACTATAGTTAGTTGATCGGTGTGAGATTCGTCGGGAGTAGAGTCCACTGACACAGAATAATATTTGGATTTTTTTATCCTGGATACTATTTCAGTAAGTACTTTATCACCCATACATCTGATCAGTTCTTCGAAAATCGTAGACGAAAGGTAGTTGACATGACCACTCCCTTTGTTTGCATGCTCTTTTAAGTGGGTGGCCAGCATATGTTCATACTCAGCTAGCAATTCCAAAATTCCCAGGAAATTTCCATTTCTTGGTGAGCCAACAATTTCACTGTCACCTCTGAAGGCTAATCCGCGTTCAGCAATGAATTTGATAGTATTAACGATAATTATGAGGATTTTTCGCCAATACTCGATTTATTGTAGTTCTTGCATCGCTAGCTCTTGATCGATGCGTCCTGTGACTTTTCCCTGTTGCACTAAACTCATTACTGATTCCAAATGAGTCTTCGAAATCGCATGATCATATAGACGATCGGATGCGTGCTTCCAGTCATTGAAGCCTTCTCTACTGAGTTTGGTGTTTTGAGTGGACATTAATTTACATGGATAACAATATATTTTTCCCGTAGATGGAGAAAAGCAAAGCCAGAATCGATTGACGGTCTCTTGATTTTTATTGCGGCGTGTAAACATTTTCTTTGTACATTTCCGAACTAAGTTAGAATTATCTAGATTTTGCATAGACAATTGATCGCAATTTTGAAGTTCTGTCAAACCTTTTTTTGCCCAATATTCGATCATTTATTTTGTTATATTAGCAGGCCAAAGACCTATGTCATTTTTGAGACCGCAAAATGTTGCTTCATCTTGGAGCTGATATTCAGTTATAGAAAACTGTGTGTTATCACTTGATGAAACCTCAGCCTCAGGATGATCTTGGATACTGTCGACCACGTCTTCATCTTCTGTTGAATCTCCTACTGTTTTTTTAGGATCTTGAGGGATTTCTTCTTTATTTGATAAAAATAAAAAATTGGTCAGTTTGGATGTTTTAGCTAAAGTTTCTTCAGATTTCTTTTTACGTTCTGCTTGCAATTTCCTCTTCTGAGAGCCACTAGCAAAAACTCGAGGAGTTTTGTGGCGATCACTCATGATTCCACTATAAAGTAATCTCGCGTACTAGTTGTAGTTATGATTATGTACACCACTGTACCACTGTGTATGTGTGTTGGAGAGTTGGACTGTGATAGGCGCGAGTGCACGAGAGCCGAAATATAAATAACTAAATAGTAAATATAATATTATTCTAATAATAATAATAATATTAATATTTTATTAATAATAGTTGACATTTACTCGATAATCGGATAATCAATACAAAATTAACAAGACTGCATACCAGATAAAATTACTATCTATAAAATATTTTTATTAAATTGTTATATATTATAATATTATTATTATTATATATTATGTATTATGTCTGACAGAAACGACAAGACTATCTATAAAATGTTTTTAATAAATTGTTATTAATTATTATCCTATTATAATTACTATAACAATAATATTGTAAAGATGATAAAATAAATATTAGATTCAAAAAAGTATTGATTATTTCATTATACAGTGAAATAGTTGAATATTTTCAACTATTTGTATTTTATTATGGTAATGTGATGACTGATGACCACTTGGTTTTCGCATCTCGACCACTCGGATCGCAACAAATCGTATTAGTTAGTAGTACTAAATAGTTCATAATATAATAGTCAATTATAGGTACTTACGCGTTATTGTATTATGCTGCTGCTATTCAAAATGTAAGCATTTAAATATAAATATTGATTAATAATAAATAATAATGTCGTACCACTCATGACTCACACATAGAAAAAGGAAAATCGAATAATATTATTATTGTGCGTATAGTGTTTGCGAGTTTGCGTCAATCAATAGATGCGGTGGCGGTAGCGGTGGGTTTAGGATGCGCCGGATTTACTGATAAACAAACAACTTGCTGGTGACATAAAATTTCACGGAATTACCCATCGGCAATCAGTGTTCAATTAATTTTTATCCTATTGGCCACTTTCGACGGGACGGCGCGCGGCGGGGTGACGGTGCATTTGTAATTTGAAAGATTTTTTTACCGAAGTCACTATTGTGGAGGCCCCTTTTTTGGGGAGGCCCCGTGGCTATCGCCCCGGTTGCCCTCCCCTAAATCCGGCCCTGCAGTTGTGTATTAGTATACGAATCCTATCGACTAGTAAAACTTCAGATGAATATATTGACTATGCAAAATGTTTAATAAATAGTTTTGTTTCATCGTTTGCTCATATTTATGGAAAGTCTTATATGTCACACAATGTGCATATTATTTCACATTTAGCAGACGATGTTAAGTAGTTTGGGCCTCTTGATAACTTTTCAGCTTTCCCATTTGAAAGCTATATGCAACTGTTAAAAAAGAAAATCAAGAGTGGTATGAAACCGTTGCAACAATTAGTAGGATCGTTATGCTGAAGAGAGGAAAATAAGTCAATTAAATAAAAATTAAAATTAAATTAGTCTTGGACCTGTCATCGTGCAGCATAAACTAAAAAATCGACCAATGACTCAGGATGTATGTGAACCTCAACTTACAGGATGGAAAACAGAAAAATTTGTTTTAAAATTAAACAAAGCAAATAATTGTGTGAAAATGAAAAGTGGTGATTTAGTACTAATAGACAATATTGCAACTTCACAATTAGATCAAAGCATATTGATTATTGGACGAAAATTCGAGAAAGTTGTAGAGTATTTTAATATACCCTGTTCTTCAGAATTATTGAACATACATTTAGTTTCACAACTTAATTATCTTCAGTCATGGAAATTATCAGACATTAGAGAAAAAATGATTCGTTTCCCCATGCTAGATGATGAGACGAGATCTGTTGTTATGCCTTTGTTGTATTTACAATAATGTATTTTTAGTTTTATTTTATCTATATATTATATTATAATAGTCAATATTATACTAAAATAGTAATAATTAATAAAAATTAAAATTAAATATCATTATAATGTGAATAATAATTTTTGATTTCTAATCACTAAAAAAAAATAATCTAGTAAAAATATGATAGATAAGTACCTATGATGAATTATATGATTGAATAGTTTTTAAAGGTACCTACTGCACCAGTAAATGAACACCTAAGGTTTTGTAGACAAGTAAATATTTGTATCATAATAGCTTTAAGTAACATAAAGTTCAATTTTTATTTATATATTAAATGATATGTCATCTTGTCTTTTATAATTAAAAAAAAATTGAAGAGAATTCACAGACACAATTAAAAAAAATGTTTTATTGAAATAAATCAGTTTTTTCTAGTTAATGAACAAAATTCTGAGTTAATAAACACATATTTTCCCTGTAAATGAACAATGTCCAATAAATGAACACTTATTAATCTGTAAATGAACACCTGACAAAGTAATCAATTTTTAAAAACTTTCATTTTTTAAATGACACCAAAAACATATACTTTGTGTAGTAGTTTACTTCAACAACATAAAATCATAAAAAAAAACATATACTTACTCCTTATTATAGTAGATAACATCAACAAAATTAAATCATAAAAAAACTTAGTAGGTATATCAGTTAACATCAACAACAGATAATCATAAAAAAACATCAAAAACAAAAATGTTCCCAAAGTTATTTTTAGTTATAGGACTTTTTGATATCAAATTATGAGCTTTTACCATATCTTTCCAGTATGACTTCGATGGCTTGAAAATTGAAACATCACAAGGTTGAAGTATATGTGTCGCATTAAGTGGTAGACAAAATAATATTATTTTATTTTCTGTACAAAACTCGGATAATTGTAAACTTAAGTGGCTTTTGTGTCCATCTAGATATAAGATAACAGGGAATTTGACTTCATTGTCTACTAACCAAGGGTACATGAAATTGGCAATATATTTAAAAAATGTAGCTGACACCATCCAACCACTATCGCTCCTCCCAATGCCCCAATTTCCTGGTACTGATTGATATATGTAATTAGGTATTCTTTTGTAGGGATAAATAATCTTTGGGGAAAGAACACTTCCATCAGCAGAGTATGTACAAATAACAGTTAAATGTATTTTCTTTTTCACTGTTTTTTGCTATTTCATAAGAATTGTTCATTTTTTTGGGACCTAATACTTTTCCTGTTTTTGGACAAAGTTGTATACCCGTTTAATCACAGTTAATTATTCTTCTGCTATCACAAAGAATATCTGAATATCCTTCTTTTTTTAAAAATGATGAAACACCATCAAACCAAAGTCTAATTGAATTTTCAGTGACTGCAGCTCTTGCTTTAGATATTATTTCTGTGTGCCTCTTTCCTATTTCTTGGTGTCTCTTTAAAAATGAAACTAACCATTTTTTTCCAGGTCTATCATATTTAAAAGGGTTCTCCCTTGGGAAAATTTTTAATACTTTCTGAATAGAATCTTTAATATTATCGGGGTGGACTGGAAATCCTACCTTAGCCTTAGCCAAAATCCAATGAACAATTTTATCTTCCTCATTCAACGATAAAATAGTACTAGGTCCAATTTTTCGTAAAATAGGAACTTTATTATTAACCTTATTACTAAGAGTTGACTTTGGAAACCCTGTTTCTTTATTTACCTGATTCAGAGATTTCTCTTTTCTCATTATTGTATTAACTGCATGAACAAGCTCCTCTTCAGTATATTTAAATGGTACATAGTTTTTCTTTTCTTTTGTTACTTTTTCTATTTTTTCTGGTGCTTTACTTTTAACCATTGCTATATTTTCGAGTACCTAAATATTTCATTGATTATTTAATACAAATTACAATTTATTAAAGATAGGTGGTTATTGTGAACGAAATGTATTGATTATTACATTAAAGTTAAGTATGATTATCTACGTTGAATAAGAAAATATTAAAATAAAATGCACAATGTTCATTTACTAGTAAAAAGTAAATAACCTAAATACTAATGAATGAACAGTAGTTCATTCACTGACTGTTGCATATTTACTTGTACCAGTGCTTGAACACTATTTAAATAGATTAGGAAATGCTTTAAGTCAATCGATTAATATATCAATGGCATTATAAGTTTGTGAAGAATCAAATAAATATCACTTTAAGTGTCTTACCTAGTGTTGAAGATGTTTAAATGTTTCGTTTCTGTACACCCAACATTTGAAAAATAAAACAAAATTTGATAACAATAAAAAACCCATAAATATTCTCAATCAAATGATTTCAAATGTAAAATCATGAAATTACAGTGTGACCAAGATCAGAATATTTGCTAAATGTTGATACCATTTATCATAAAAGTTTACTTCTGATTTTCTTATTAATCAAAATAAACCTTTCACTACCATTTATACAGAGACGGATTAGCCCACCTTGAAATTGGAAAATTCGCTGTCTACATTTATAATTCAATATTATTAACTATAATATTGTAATATAATTATCTCGTCAGAAGATTCAAAAATAAAAATGAACTCTTCTTTTAGTGCCGGTTCTTTTGGTTATAGTAGTAATAAATAAAAATAAGTATTAACTTATAGGACTATATATGCGTATATGCCACTTTCGATCAGTTTAAGAATCTAAGAAATTTAAAATAAAATTATCTAAAAATAGATTGGTTTTTCATATCTACCCGACGACGCCCGTATGCTTATCGCTGTACGCACCGCATAGCCTACCAGCAACTAACAATATTATATATTATAATATAATATACTTGGTAGGATAGTACTCGCATGTCGCAGACCACTATCCACAGTATCACGTTACTGAAAGTTGATACAGTACTGACTAGTGACTACAAATATTTTAGCCTTATGTGTTTAATTTACTGACTACTGCAGATATAGTGATATTTAATTTAAATAATAATATTTCTAGTTCCGGAAAACGAAAAGGAGGCACTGAAAAACGTCGCGACAATAATAAAAAATTGTTATAGAACTCCAGTAATAAGTGTTTAAAAATTAAGGAAATGTTTTCAAAATCTAAATCTACAAATAATATATCGTTAACAAGTACGATCAATGTTTCAGAAAATGTATTTTTAGGTAAGTTAAACAAAATATACTTATATTATAGTTAATAAACGATTATCAACTATCATAAACTTCACTTAAGTAAACAGTTAAGTTCTTACAATTTGATTATACAGTTTTAAATAAAATGTATAAAGTAGGTACAATCTTTTAAATGCTTAGCTAAGAAATAAATGCATTTAATTTACTGTAATGTAGAATGAGGTCTTGCTCAAATGATCACATTACTTATTAAATACTAATGTAATATTATATATTTATTTTTAAATATAAAATTATTTTTGTTAGATATTGTCAAGGAATCTAGTAAAACACTAGATCCTTCAACCGTTGGAAGTAGTATGAATGCAACATTGAATACAACTGCAGTAAGTATTAATTTGATTAGTTGTGTGAATTGAAACCAATTAATTAATAAAAAAAAAAAAAAACCTTAACGTTTGCCCTTGCTATTTGTTTGCACACATTGAATAAATGTTTTATATACAAAATATTAATATTAACATATTTTGGTGTAGGAACTTCAAGGTGATGGTTCATGTTTAAGAGAACACCTGAGTACAGTTGTGGAAGAAATGTTGCCACGTACAGTGGATGATGGTATATACAATTTAATTATTATATATTATTAGGAATACTAAAAAAAAATGTTTTATGAACTGTTTATCATTAGTTAATTTAATTGGGTATTCTTTTAGATCTCTTCAAAAAACCAACACAACTTGGAATGGAAATATTTTTAAAAAGTCATTCACTGTTACCAAAAATGAATTTGACAACTCCATTTAATTTTCAAAAAACTTTTTTTAGAAGTGATGGAGTACAGCGCAAGTGGTTGACTTATAATAGTAATTCTAAACAGTTATTCTGTTTCTTGTGTCTAACATTTTCCAATGAAAGTAACTCATTTACAACGGGTATGAGTTCTTGGAAGTATGTTTATCAACGTATCAATGAACATGAAGGAAGCAAAATTCACAACCACTGTGTTGAATCATATCTTTTATTTACTCAAAAACGTGACATTAACACTTTATTATTTTCTGTGCAAAAAGACAAAATAAAGGAAGAAGTTAAAAAGAATAGAGAGGTTTTTAAAAGGATAATAGATAGTGTAATATTTATTGGCAAACGCGGCTTAAGCTATAGAGGTAATAAGTTTGAGGCAGCTTCTTCTTTAAATAGTTTGCATGATCATAGAAACTTTTTGGAGTTATTGTTATTCTTAAGTAATTATGACTAGGTCATTAAAGATCATTTAGATACAGTTACTCAAAAAAGTATAAAAGCGAATAAAGCTGGTAGTAAAGGAAGAGGAAATTCTCTTACATTTATTCCAAAAAACTACAGTAGATTATGTAATTTCAGCAATATCTACGTTAATCAAAAAATCAATCAGCGCAGACATGAACAAAGCTCAAATGTATTCAGTTATGCTAGATACTACACAAGACATCGCTGCTAAAGATCAATGTGCAATTGTTATCAGATATGTTGGCAACAATAGTGTGTATGAAAGGTTAATTTCATTGGTAAACTTTACAGATACAACAGGTCAAGGTATGTTTCAATTACTTAAGGATGTTTTAAAATCAAATGATATTTATGTAAAAAATTGTGTGGCAAATGCCACAGATGGTGCAGCAAATATGCAGGGTGAATATAATGGTTTTAATGCATGGTTAAATGAAACAGCACCTAACCAAGTACATGTGTGGTGTTACAGTCATGTTCTCAACTTAGTAATGTCCGATGCATCTAAATCACCTTTACCCGCGGCAACATTATTTACCATATTGAATAGCTTGGCCATTTTTTTTTTAAAGAATCCTATAAACGCATGGAATATTTTACTAAAAGATGTACAAGCAATCGTCGTTTGCAATCAATTTGCGAAACTCGTTGTTGGGGAAAAGAAATTGCTCTTAATAGAATATTTGGAAAGTTTAATGATCCATCTAAAGGCATGTACATACAAGTAGTATAGGCATTGAGTGATGCAATTAATAGTGATAATTTCAAACCGGACATTAAAGTTAAAGCTGATCTACTATACTTACAGCATTTATTTATATTAGAATTTTTAGTATAACTGGTCCACTTGGATCTTTTAAAATCTCAAAATTAGTTGACACAGCTTTAGGAAAACTTATTGAAATTCAAAGAGATATGGATGGAGTAAAATTGAGTGGGGATGTTTTTGTTCAACAGATTAATTCTTAATTGAACCAATTTAATTTGGATATAGTTGTTGAAAAACATTTCCCCAGAATTAGAAGCCGGAAACGCAAAATATTGCCAGGAGAGTCGGTGGAAGATTATATAATTAATGATCAACTTCAAAAATTTACCGTTGATGTACATAATAAAATTCTAGATACTATTGTAGAACGTATGAGAAGAAGGTTTCTAAAGCATCGAGACTTATATATTGATTTATCATGCCTTTCACCTACAAACTTTAAAAAAATAACTGAACAGGGACTATCTAATATTGCATTAACCACTTAAAGTAACAAACTTCAACAGTTTAATAAAAATGCTTCAAATGAAAATATTAAAAATAAACTTATAAGTTTTGCAGAGAATTGGAACAAATTAAAAAAAAGTATCCCTGAAACATATGCAACTATTTATATGAAAAATAATAATGAAGAAGAAGATGAAGAAGTATTAGGAGACACACAAACAAATGACAATAATTCAACAACACTTTGTAAGAGTTGTAAAAACTGTTTTTTGTGCTGTTACACTGTTTTAACGAAATATTACTTATATTGTCAAAAATACTCAAATCTATACCTTGCATATAAATACTGACCTTACATTCAACACAAGTCACATGCGAAAGATAATTTTCACAACTAAAAAATATAAAAACAAGACTTCGTAGTCAGTTAACTGATTCAAAGCTTGAAGCTTTTATGATGATGTGCGTTGAAAAAGAAAAATTGGTTTCTCTAGACCACGATTAAATCATTAAAGTAGTCTATCAACAAAGTGATTTGCTGTATAAAAGTCTAATGTTTTAAGTCTTATGTTTTAAGCTTATTTGAATTTAAAAATATTGTTTTATAATAAATTACTAAGAATTTTAGTAAGTTTATAATATTATATTGGTCAATACAAATGGGCCTCCGTGTTTATAATTTCCTGGGCCGAATTTTGATTCCAATCCGTCCCTGCATTGATTTGTTCATTCAGTTGCGTCCACAGGATTTTTCAATGGGGGGGGGGGGGCTTGAAAATTAGTTACATTTTTATTTTGTCCAGTCTAATAATTTCAGACGTTTATTTGAGGTATTTTAAAATGTTTGTAACTTTTCAACTTTTCTGGCAGAAAAAATGCTCTGATCATAACTTTTCTGGCAGAAAAAATGAAAAGTTACAAACATTTTAAAATACCTCAAATAAACGTCTGCTCCGATACCCAGTTTATGTTTTTGGAAGCAAATTGGATCTAGTTGGTACTTTTAGGAGGTCGAAATTGAAAATGCTCAGTGCTTTTAAAAATAATTGGAAAAAAAAAAATGAAAATTTATTTAAATGTTTGGTTATACCGTCTTCACTTGGATTGTATTTGAATAATTAATTTTTTTTTTTCTTTAAATGCCAATAAAAAAATATTTATCCGGTCGAAAACCTTAAAAATGTAATACGTAAGTTATTTTATTATAGCTAAATATTAACGATACATAAGCATAGTGTTT